TCAATCGTTTCGATGTAATGTCGGGTAGTTTCACAATGTAATTGTTTACTGCTTTATTGTAATATTTATGAATTTATGAATACTTAGGATACTCAGCTAGTGTGAGAGTTTCACATCGTCAAGCAATTGTGTACAACATGAATATTTCAGCTTACAAAAATCGAATGACAAGAAAACTCTATTGTTTATAACATATCTCTCTCACTCACTCTCTATGTTCCTCTTCTACATTCTACTGTCCTTCTGATTCCGCAGATGGGAGCCCACTGTGATTCTCATTACTCACCAAATTTATGTGGATGATGGAAATGCAAATCTACCTGTATGTAACTACTTCATTCATCATTTTCACTATTTCCAATTTGATCAAGAATTTTATTTTATTATAAAAAAATGCTTCCTTCAAGAACAACTAGCTTTAGCTCATGAATAAATTCATATACGAATTAAAAGTCCACATGATAACAAAATCAAAACAAGAATCGTGATTAATTAATGTCGAATTTCGATATGGCATTTATCGTGGACGAAGCCGTTAAATTGAATTCGATGTGCTGCTGTTCCACTAGAAATTTTGTCATGCATTTTTCGGTACAACATACCAATTAAATTGAATTACTCTACGCACACTTCAAATAAATAATAAGATTAAACATGTTAAAGTGTGATACATATAGGTGAAATATAAGTTAAACAACGTCAGAGAGAAATATAAAGTGAGTGTGTGAGGTAGAAGAGTCAAATGACATGCTCCTTACGGTGTAAAAAATGAGTATATCTCAAAGAAATTCTTTGACATCGAACAATTTCTCTGCAAGATTCCATTTGTTTCGTGGATTTTCGATGAATTCAAACTACATATTGCATATTCGCTACATAGTTTCTTATGCTACTATTTCATAATGAAAACACACAGTGTGGTGTCCAATGGGGTCTATACACGCGCCCTTATACACAGTCTTTCAATGAAGAAATATGCCTGATATTGAAATATCATACCAGCCACATAATTCACAGACAATAATGAGTAAGAGTTTTAGGCTACTTTTAGGCCAATGCCACGGAATGCTGTATGTTTACACTAACTACTAAGAAAATGTAATGTTGTTCGTTGTAGTTCGACGTTTTTTTACAGTATGAAAATGTTTATGACAGTAACGCCGCCACAAAACTTTACACTAACTACTACAATTCATAGTCAACATAGTCGCATAATCTACGGTACGGAACTTCCAGCTGAAGTCATTGTCTATTTCAGTATTCATTTACCTCAAGACCACATATTGGGTTACATGATTGCGCGGGGTTAATGTATTTCTCTTTTTTTCTTTCTTAATCTTAAGAGCTAAAGAGAAACAGCTTAAAATCAATCGAAAAAGACCTTAAAAACACTACTCTTATGATGATCCAATAACACAAGGTAAAAACAACAGATTGGTTTTATATTTTGTGAATAAAAATAATGTTAATGGTAAATTTGATGGCGATACATGTAAGAGAGAAATTGGATCGCGTTACAACTTAAAGCTTTTGTAAAGTAGTCATATGTATGTAAATTCAATGATCCTCGACGTACGTTATTTTGTCAAATTTTATTCTCTAAGGAGGTGATACACATGGATTAGTACGTCTTTTTTTTCATTCAGTGTTTATATCGTATTTATTTATTAAAACTATTCATTTTTATACGAGCTTGCGACCACATAAGAAACCAATAACCAACACCAGCTTATCGAAGAAAAGAGGATTTTGCGAATGTATAATATGTTGCTACAACAAAAAAAACGAGAGAACTTTGCAAACCAGCGACGAAAAAATCACGTTCCAAAATATGATTTTTGTTTATTTTAGATATTCGTTGCTTTATATTTTATTGTAAAATGAAAATTATTCCCAGAATATTTGCCAAAATGTAAGACTGTGCACTTTTGTAGGTCAGTTATATAGATTCCACAATTTATGTCAGTAAAATTCGTTACATTTTGTGCGAAATTACTCAACCCACGAGAATGATAAAATTATCGTACTCGACTGATGGTTTCGAGTATATTCATCAACAATTCAGATTATTTTTATAGTACCTATTATTTTCTCCGCATTTTTTCCATCGATGTATGCTGTTTTTCTTTGTTTTCAACATTTGGATTCATTTCAAATTTGAAGTTGTGAGATTAATAGATTCAATGTCATTTTTTAAAACCATTTTAAAATTGTGATTCTTCTTGACTCTCAATAAATGAGGATTAATCAATGAAAATACCACACAAATACAAAAAAGTGAAAAATGTTGTTTGCATGTATATTCTTAAAGATTTTGTGTTTAACTGCAAAAAATATTGTCAAAACGATACACATATACAAACTTTATTTAAAAATACAAAATATTGTAGCATATCCAAAAATACTACCATCAGATTTTGTGTGCATGAGTAAAATACGAAATAATAAACATAACACATAATTGGTGTTGTTGTTTGGCCCGTGCTATAAGGCGCTGGCATTCATTACAAATGGTGAAAATGAAAGGCGTGGTTTCAACGCAAGCAGCACAAACGCTATTTTCATTTTATTCGTGTGTAAATCAAACACTATAAAAATTCAACTACTCCAAATCTCCCTCTCTCTAACTCAGTCCCCTTTTCTCTCTCTCTCTCTCTCTCTCTTTCTCTTTGTATTTTTTTTTTTAAATTTTATTTATATGTATTCGTTATGTTTCTTTTCTTCACAGAATAACATATTGCTATACTAGGTTTGCTTTGCTGCTTCGACATTTTTCAATGAATGATTTCGACCATTTGTTCATCCTAAACATTTTGGATTGAAATTTTAGGTGTCGGTTGAACCATAAGCGAATGAATCAAATGATTCAAAATTGTATGAAAGCGCAACATTGATCATTTGATATTGATCGTGTTAGCACCATTCGACAGTCGAGTGAGTTTCTTTTTAAACATTTCTTTCGTTTTCAGTAACCACTATCAATCAGTTCTGTTCCTTGCTGTTGCAACAGAAAAAAAATCGTAGTCTACAAAAATAAAAAAATAGAAAAAACTCCTAATGAAACTGTGGGTTTTTTGTTATTCTAACAACATCTGACGATCGTTGAATTAGATAATTTGTTGTGTTTAACATAGCATATTGTCTTACAACATAACAAACCAGACTGTTTCGCGCCTCAAACTCTCACACTCTGTGTCTCTCCTCTTCTCTGTTTCTATCCTTTTCTCACCTTGTATGAAAACCGGCGATCAAAGGCAACATCGACAGATTGTTTCCGAAACTGAATCTAAGGGGCTCAAGCGAGGATAATAAATATAAATTACATTCGTTCAATTTCGGTTATCTCAAAAAAAAAAAATACGGAACACACTCACATTTTGGAAAGTAGATCCTTTCGAATGAAGAAAATAAAATTATTTGTGAAATAATTGATCGAACAGTGTGTGCAATGTTGTGGTTGAGAAAAGCAGCGTCAAAAAAAATTCGTTTGTTTATCTCGCCACATAATTTTACACATCTTAATAACATAATAATTAAATCTTCCGTCGTATTAGTTCACATATAATCAGCGCTAATTTTTTCAATTTGATCCCGTTGACCCCGTTACTGTTCAGATCTTTCCATCATCATCGTTCGATCGATCTGTATGCGAATCGCAAAGCATGATTAAAAACAATAATAAATATCGAAACACTGGTACATATTTCAATAGCCGTGGCTAAAAACAGTATATGCATGGTGGAAATATATATATAAATATATTGTTTTTATGTCTATTAGTGGTTTGGGATATATATTCGCACGTCCATTTCGGTTTTTTCATTTTTATTCCAATTTCATTTGTCCATACAACGGATTCAATTCAACAACGTGTACAGCTCAAATGAGCGACGGCAACAATGACGACAACGAGAACAACAACAACAAAAACAGCAACGCCAAACGAATAACAAAAAAAAAAAAGAGAAACATATCGGCTTTGTTGCTTTTGCTTATGAACGATTATATTTCTGTGTTCATTTTCAGTGTGTTTTGTTTCTTTTTCGCGCGCGCGTTATATATTCTTTGAATGATGCCGCTGTGGCTGCTGTTACTCATATCGCTCATACTTTTCTCTTGTTGTGCGTCTCATTCTATCGTTCGTCATCATCGTTACGAATATATATGTGTGCGTTCGATGTGCCATCTCTTTTCATCTATCTCCCTTATTTTTTCGGTTCACGCTTGGCCATAAATGTGTGTAGCGAATTTACAAATATACCAACAACAACAATAATAATACCATAACATTAGAGCAAAGAGTTCTTTTGACTATGCACTCTTGATTTAGTTTCGAATTTATCCGTCATCAACCATCATCCAAGTCGCGTGTGTGTATGAAATCGGCCGCCGCACTATTTTTTTTTACTCATTTTGCAGTCGCCGACATATATCTACATATATGAAATTTCATTGTGTTTCGGCTCTGGTGTGTTTTGTTGTGCTTCAGTTTTACAATATATCTCGTGGTTTGTTTTGGTTTTCGCGTTTTCGACGATTTTGGCGTTTTCGCACAAAACCGTGTACACCGTGGTATTCAGTCCAAGCTGATCATTCAGCCTGTTGTGTTATAATCTCCATCGATCGTTCGTTGTTTTCAACATGACAGTGCGTCGGTAACTTCGATTCAATCACAAAAGTCGGACCGGAATTCGTGACAAATCTCAATGAAAATCGATCGAAATAACAAAGTTTTCAATGACAAAAGTTTATTTTTTTCATTGCATTTCACTTGAATGCAACAAAATAATAAAAATAAATTTATGTGAACTCTGTTGAGCTTAATGAAAAATTAATCTAAACTTGGTTTAAGTGATCAAAAAAAAAAAAAAAAAAAAATAACAATTTAAAAGTATTAGTAAACATTAATTTTATATGAAAACAGACATTTTTATTTTCAATCGTTGGTTTTTGTGTTTCAGAAAAGAAAAGTTTTCAATTTTTGTGTATTCTTCAATCAATTCGCATCAAAACATCTTTACATCATCGGTTGACACTGTTTCTTCATCCAAATTTATGGAATATCACCGATTTATGGTGTCCAAATTGTGATCAAGTGAAGTTCTAGTTGACAATTTAAACGTTTTTTTTTGTTCATAAGTTAGGTGTGAAAGATACCTATAATTTCAAAATAAAAACCAAAAAATTGAACAGTGATAATCAAAAATCTAGCTATTGAAATGGATTTTTCTGGATCTAACTCAATAAATATGAAGCCGTTTATGGGATATCCATTTCAAGGTAAAAAAATACAAACGAAATGAGCTTAGCGTTGGATTGTCAATATAAAATTTAGTTTATAGTAGATCATAAATTAATGGGTTATTTGGAAAATAAAGCTTTATTTTAGGTGTTTGAACATTTAATCGACTTCTGGATGATAAACATTTGACACTCTGGGCAAATTTCGTAGAGATGACAATCGTAAAATCTTTATATTTTCAAAATATTATTTGGAGCGACATAATTAGAATGCAATAAAAGAAATGAAGGAGAACGATATTGCACCATAGATATATGGATCATCAATAAGTTAGCTTCAAGATATATATTTCATTTAATATTGTGCAGAGGTCATCGTGATAGTATGAAGTAAATTTGGTGCTTGCAGCAATAATCAGTCATCCACGCCTATTTTCACTGGTCACTCGATTATCGTGAATCAGATTTTGACGAAGAAATCGTAGATGGATTCGATTTAGCTTTTACACCAATTTTAACTAAAATTGCTTGAGATTGATTGATTAAAAAAAAAATGTTTTTTTTACAGGTCAGGGTCGTGTCAATCAGCTAGGAGGTGTTTTCATAAATGGTCGCCCGTTGCCAAATCATACGCGATTAAAAATCGTTGAAATGGCTGCTTCTGGAGTTCGGCCCTGTGTCATATCACGACAGCTTCGCGTATCTCATGGCTGTGTATCAAAAATTCTAAATCGATATCAAGAAACGGGATCGATTCGACCGGGTGTCATCGGTGGATCAAAGCCAAAGGTGGCTACGCCTGAAATCGAATCACGTATCGAAGATCTCAAGAAAATGAATCCAAACATATTCAGCAATGAAATTCGCGAAAAGTTAATTAAGGTGAGTGTGAGTGTCGTTTCATTGAGATTATGTACAATATCTATAAAAGAAAACTTGTGCAAAAGTTGAAGAAAAGGTTTATGCTAACTTGGAAAATGTGAATTGAAAAAAAAAACCATTATAATAAGAAATGGATTTGGAAAACTTCTCTTTGAAAATGAAATGAGCTCCAAAAATGCATAAATTTTTTCCTCACAATTGAGTTTTTGCAATTACAACGGTAAAATCAAACGAACATATCAAAATCGATTGGAATCATTGGTGCATGCCCATTGGTAAATATATGGAAAGATTAACTTCCGACTGCTATTCATCAAAATAAATTTTAGTTTATCTCTATAATTCACGGTCCAAGATATCGCAAACAATAATAACAAAAGAAAAAAAATGATGAAGAATCGTTCAAATAGTCAATGCAAATGCCATTCACACATATGGACCAAATGTTTTTTTTTATGTGTGTTTTATCGTCGAATGGCCAAAATCAGTTTCACAAGTATTTTTTTTCCCACCGATTTTGTTGGGCCCCGAATCAGTTCCAATGTAAAAACGTTTGTATTTGCATGTGATGGGAAAGAAATGGAATATCACACGATGCGTTTCGATTAATTTACAAGGAAAATAGTTATGTGTAAATAGCGTGAACGCGCGCCAAAGGAATCAAAAGAACAAATTTCCAAATTCGATCAATTGTAACCGAAATGCTATTCAATTGAATCGTTCGATGATCGTCGTTGTCGTCATCGTTGTTGTTCACATGAGTCTCACACATTGTGAAACCATGATGATGAACAACACATCACATATTCAAATTTCAAGCTTCATGAGTTTTGAGTCGTCGCTTCTTCTTCGGCCTTTTTTACCTTCTTCATCTTTTCCTTTTGTTCTTCGCCTACATTGTTTGTGCTGATATTTGTTATATGTTTATGGTATTCTTTGAGATATGCATAATATTCATGGTTTGAATTCTAGTTTGAATTCCAAATTTTGAATCCATTCAACTCATGAATGCACTGGCCACACATCTCCCAGGTATATGTTTACACGTTTTTCTTCGATATGAAAAGAAACCAAATTAGAAAATATATCTTTTTTTTGTGAAGAAACTGGGAGGAACAACAAAACGCAAAAAGCTGAACGCGTGAGATGAATGAAATCGATTCACATAATAAAACCGATCAGTTTGATATTAGTTTACGGTAGCTGCGTCGATACATTTTTGATTCGGTCTATATTTATCACTGAAAATAATAATATTTCATTTCTCACACACATATTTCACACCACCGACGGTTTCTCTCTCTCTCTCTTTGTTTTTTTTTTTTTCTCATTTAACTGTTATATGATTGAGAATTGGAGGACAAACCATTCTTGTGGCTTCAATATTTGACAGTTTTCAATTGATTTTTTTTTGTGATGATTCGTTGGTACTCATTTCACATATAGTACATTCGTACATTATTTTCGTCGGTTATACCGAGAAATTAAAATGCCAACGAAAAATCGGATTCATGGCGGATGGATGCGAGATAAATTGATGGGAGTCGATTGTGTAAAGAAAGAAAACTCACGCATCAATTGTTTTGTGATTAGGCCAATGTTTATACAATGGAAAATTAACCGAAATAAGTTTTCGATGAAGAAAACGTGATTTTATTCAACGATCAAATAGGTCGGGAGAATGGATTTAAATGCGAATTGTGAACAACAAGCTATAAACCAACCGAAATACTCAATTATAATCAAAGAAAAATTCTCACACTTTATTTAAAAAGAACTAACAAGAGACGAACTGTATTTTCTTGAGAATAAAATAGTTTGACTTTGAAGGATGCACTTCGTTTTCTCAATTTGAGTGAAAAATGTCCAACATTTACCCAACTTGGCTAAGAACTTTTCGGTTATGCATTTGAAGTTTGGATTTTGTTCAAGTTTCGTATACGGTTTCGCATACCATGTGTAATTTGTTATAAAGCATACAAACCACTTATATTTGTATGTGATTCATCTCAGCACGTGTTTATATGTTGTCTACAGTTTCTTGTTTTTTTTTTGTTTCTCTTATTTTCTTGTGTTGACACGGACTAATACAATATTTGTATCCTAAAGGCAAAAGTGGTTTTATAAATTTGATAAAACCTACAATTTTACTTTAGTCAAAGTTTGTTCATGCGACGAATAATTCAATTTTGTGCATTTTCATAGGGTAATTTCATTATTCGATGATTTTATATGGATGTATGAAATGATGAGAAAAGCGTTGGCAGAATTGCAAACTAAATAAAACCACAAAAGAAAAAAATATGCCAGCATTTCTGCAATCTATGCTGTGTATGACAGCAAGAATGTGTGATTTTCATAGTAGAATACAGCACACACACAGCGCGCGTTTTTGGTGTTCTGCTCTATTCGAAAACAATGTGGAAAACTAATGTATCGCTTTAGCCACACATAGACATATTTCGGCCTGATGCTAGATGCTGTTTGCTTTGCAATAGTACATGTATTCAAGGCGAATGATACGGTTAGTCCATCAATAGATTGATCAAGCGAAGCGAGAATAGAGAAAGAGCATGTGGAAATTAGGTACGCATGAAAATGCACAGCTCCAGGTGATAATTTTTTTCGTTTTTCAAATGCATGCTGTCGAAGCTTTATTTTTGGCGTTGGCTTTGCCGTTTGATGCTATAAAGAATTCATTTTTTTTTGAAGGTAGATATGAATGTTGTTTGGTCGCCATTGCGAACAAATAAATTGAAATGTTGAGCCGCAGCAACAGCAACAGCAGCTTTCATTTTAAATGGAAACTATCATTGTCGTCATCATCATCATTCAGGGGAGTGAAAATGTATTATGAATCTTTCCTCTCTCTATCATTCTCTGACATTTTGAATTTTTCGCATCCTGATTGAGTTTTGAATGTCGTTAATATATACAATTTAGATACTGAATATGGAAATACAACCACACTACCATCAATCCAATCCGAGGATTTTAGATGAGTAATGACGACGTCGTGAATGAATATAACCAGACAACAGAGGAAAATGAATAAAATAAAAATGGATGGCGTTCAACATGCCATTACTAGTGTTTTGGTGGTGTTTGTGCACATGCATTGGCTTTGCATTTCATATTACCATTTATTTTGTGTATTCAACTACCTTCTCTATCTATTTTTCCTTGTGACTCGGCTTTTTATCGTTCATTTCGATTTGCTTTAATTCGTCATACATGCCAAACCATTTCAATTGTCGACGACTTCTAACGAAAATGAGGACACACAACGGCAAACTGATTTCTGTTCCCTTTTGTCATGTCAATTTATGAATTCAATTCATACTTTTATTTTATTTTTTTCTCATCTCTTTGTGTTTCCTATTCAATTTATCATTCGGAACCAAACGTTATTGTTTCTAGCTGCTTTTTTTCCGGCTTACACATACTGCAATATACAAACAGAGGCACATACAAAGCGGTATTGGCAAGAGTAACACCCGTTTTTACATACCCTTGATTTTCAGTAGTCTTGACGATTTCAACACAAAAAAAAAATAAGCTAAACAAGGGAGATCGAATTCAATGTTCTAGTAAATTTTACGCATTCGAATTTGCGTGAAACATACATAAGTGTGTATGAGCTTTGTAAATGGTCTTCAATGGCAAAATGGCTGAAATTCATTTTATCATGATATTTTATTCATACATATTTTATGGAAAACTAGATCACATTCAATGTTTAATATTTAGTCAGATAAACGCAACAAATTCAAATAAACAGCATTTCTGGCATTTGACTAAAAAAAGAAACTTCGAATTCTTAAAAAATTGTTTGATGGCAATATTTGTAATTCCTTTGTCCGGCACATTTATCAAGTAAATAACATATTCTGAAAAAGGTCTAAATAAATGTCAAATATATTTTAACTATTTGGCAATGGCGTATAAATTTATCCGAATTGCAATTTCCAATGTCACATTTAATTATATTCGACTATTTATAAAATGGTGATGGTTTTCTCAGCAATTGTGTAGTTTTACATTTTATGTAAACAATTTCAAAGTATGGCGTTGAGAAAATATCGAGAAATTTCTCATGGAAAAACTTGTGTAATTAACCAATAGCTGGCATTGAAACAGTTGCAAACATGTAAAAATTAACTTGATCATACTGAAAAGCATTATCTAAATGACACTGAGGCAAGAGTGACTTTCAGTGAAGAAATAATTAGATTGCAGGCAAATCGACTTTCAAATATTTTTTCGATTTAAATCGAAATCCATGATGTGCAGAATTTTGTTTTACGCCTGAAAAATCGAGATAAAATTGATGAAATCACCTTTTGTAAAATGAAACCGCCCAATCTTGTCACATCCTTTGAAATCAAGCCGATGCAATTCATTTCCTTGCAACAAAAGATAATTAAAAATAAAGCGGGTAGCCAGTGAATAGACAAAAGAGAGATGGTGTGAATGAAAAAAAAACCCATAAAGGGAATTAGTAGTCAATAATTTTTGGAATGTTATCGGCTACGGGATGAAAGAAACCAATTTCCAAGAATCATTTTCATTCAAATTCCGGAAATGCGTCAGCAAAGCCAAAATGAAAACATTTCGATCCTTGAAGTGAACCTAATTAATTTTTAGCTATCACATACTGAGGCGGGATACAAAAAAAATCATTATCATCCGTAGATTCTACGGTAGCAATAATAAATTAATAGTTTGAATGCCACTAGTCGACAGCAACTTTAAATTTCTTATGAAACTTGACTCTGAAAACCGTTATGACTGATTTTCTTTTTAATTTAATGCAATCAATTTTGACATTCGTTCAAAAAAAATGTCCAAATTATATTTAAACAATATTGTAATGTTAACCAAAGAAATGACAAAATAGTTACAAGTGTTCGTACAATTTTGCAACAAAGTTGCAACATATCAAATTTGTACTCAAGGGCAAGACAAATTAAAAGACTCACAGCTCAACTGAAAAAAGCACAACAAAAATTAAACGGCTGAATTCAATGTCATTTGTAAAAAAAAAAAACTTTTTTTTGCGCTATTTCTGTGAGATTTCATTAGAGTTCATGAAAAAACTAAAATGAAACAAAAAAAACCTGCACTAAACAGTTATCTCAATATTTCATTTTATGGTTTGGTATAAAAGGGCGAGTTCTTTTTAACAAAAAAAAATTATATACTACGTTTCATCGATATCGATATCGCTAATGTATTCTTTTGCATACCCTACTCCTTCTGATTCTGTTTTATTTTCAATTCTCATTTTCAATCACATTTTATTTAATGAATTAGATAACAAACCGCTGACTCATTCGTAACAAATTAAAAGTGATGCACATAAAGAATTGAAATGGAAAAGAAGTTAAAGTGAAATCGAAAGATAGAGGAGAGAAGAAAAAAAATGTACACGGGTAGCGTCAAATGAAACGTCCTTAAATAGAATCTACTTAAGATCGACAGTCAATCATTCAAATTCATTCACACATCGGTTCTATGCATTGTTTGCTTCCTTCGTGTGTTTTAATCATGACTGTTTTTTTTTCTTCGTTCACGTTTTTATATTGTTCGTGGTTTGTTTGTTTGCGTAAATAGTTTTTGCTGGACGTATGCGCTTTTTTCGTGGTTCTTCTCTCTTCATGCACTGAAGCGTAGTTTGATTGTTGGGTCATTTTTTTCTCTCGTCATTTTCGATTTGGGTTAGTCGACGCGCCATCACACTCCCGTCTACTTGCGTATATGTTGCTACTTCTTTTTTTTAGATCCATTTTGAATTGAATTTCATGCATGCTATCGTTTTCATTAGATTTTCGCTATTCATATACCAATCATTTTCATTCATGAATATATATGCTGTCCGTCGTCCCATTGAAAACTTTATGTGTGAGTGTTTGATCGTCATCGATTATATGAAAGTGCTGCCGGAGCATGTGTACGCCAGACGCGAATGCATTTAGTTAAATGAAGAGAAAGAAAAAAAAATGATTCTGAATGAAATATTTCGATGCAACCGGCAGCAATGCATCGGAATGTGATGAGCACAATGACGCACAATTTTCATCAAGGAGCACGTAATAAAGCAACAATTAGTTGAAAATGATTGTTCGATTGTTTGTGGTTTGTTGTGATGTTCTTTTTTCTGATGATTCATTTTCAAAAAATAGTCGTAATTGCTACTGGAATATAATTAAAAAAAAGAAGTTGCTATTCATAATATCGGTACGTGACACATGAAAACTCAATATATTTTATATATATCGAGCACGACTGATCCAAACATTCCATTTTAATATATTTTACGACAAAACAACACACACACAAAACCAAAGTGTTGATTGCATGCATACACAAAATAGATATTCCTTCTTATTATTCACGGTTAAAAAATAATAATAATGAAATCGAAACGATACACCAAAAATGCATTCAATATGTACACAGTAGCCGAACGCTTTTCAAAACCAATCGAGCAAATGGTCGACCCTCTCTCTCTCTTCGCACGTTCCGCATAGAATTCAAATTAATTTCAACGCGAAGTGGAATTTTGCCCGAAACCATTTTATATAAATATCCTTCTCAAAAGGATAATAATAGTCTGCTCATAACAAAGACAGACAAATTGGCTTTTTCGTTCGTGCATTTTTTTTGTTTCGGTTTTCATATGCCCATTCGTTTCATTCCAATACAGTGAATGAGGAGAAATTACCTAAATACCGCCATTTACGTTCCATGCCAATCGATAGCGATGTGTGAGATAGGCGACTACAAGCGTCGTGGTGTTAAAAACAACAATCTTCAAAACAAATTATTAAATGCGCTAATTTGATAATAATCGTTACAGGAAGGTGTTACGGATCCGCCAAGCGTGTCATCAATAAATCGACTATTGCGTGGCTCTGATCGACGTGACGATGACGGAAGGAAGGATTATAGCATCCATGGCATATTGGGCGGTAAGTTTTTCATTCACTTTTGTGGTTTTCGTTTTTATTTTATTATTTTGCTTGATATTTTTCCGTATATTGATAGAAGTAAGTAATAAATATAATAAGAAGAATGTTTGGAAAATGTCAAATCCCATTTCATTTGATCGGATTTTGCTATTGTCTATGGTCCTTTTTCCAACACCAATTTAATTGGATGAACATTTCAGAGCTTGATTTACAGACAATCATATCATTGTCAAGAGAATGCGGTGAATTAAATGATTCACTGGGAAGCGAATGCGGTGAAAGCGAAATGTTAAGAAATAGAGGGTGGCATTTTGATAGAACAAGAGAACCCTGGTTAACCCTGGTGAACGTGTGTTGGTGCTTGCATAAAGATTCCTTTTCGTTACTCCTACACTTTAGACTGGAAGTTCGATGACAATAAACAAAATAGTGCAAAAAGTTAGAACGTGAATAAACGACCCATATAATCAAAGGTCGGCATTTAAATCGATGTATTGTGAAACATTGTGAAGGACAAATTAAATCCGCCCGCTCTTCTTTTCACCCGTAGTCTTTCTTTTTTTTCATTCCTCTTGATTCTTGAAAGCAAACGCGCGACCAACAGAGGAAACAGGAATTTGAAAAGACATTCGAAAAAAAAAACCAAAGAACCTAAACCGGAAATATTATTGAACTTAATATTGTTACGGAATTCTGCACACAATGGAATGGGAACGTGTTGGCCTTTTTCTTTTCTTTTTTTTTATCTCGAACGTTAAAGACAAGTAGTTTGACGAAAAGGCGTTGAAGTGAATAGGTACAACAGTTTAAAGTTGACATGAATGCGATGAAAAAAGACCACCGCCAAATCTAGAACACACATTTTGAATTTGCTAGTATTGAGCAGAAAAATGTGGAACTTTAATAAAATTGAAATAAATATTCATCAGAATTTTTTATGATTTTCTCCTTTCATTCACGGAAAATGACAGATTTAATGTATTTGTGATGTTTGCTGCTTTTTTTTGTACAGTCCGATTCAGAAAGAATGTACTATAAGTCCATTGATAAATAAAAATTGTATTACGTAGTACTGTGGTGTCCTTGGTATGTGCAACAACCGCATGTAAACATCAAAGGATTCCAGTGAGGAGTTGATCGTTTGTGGCTTGTGTGCTTTTTTGCTGTCGCAAACGAAAGAATAACAAACGTTTCAAATATTGCAATTGCAATACAGTTTGTTTACTCCAGTGTGTATAAATTCATTTTGAATACCCGATTGCATATCGTACATAGCAGACAGATGCATATGAATGAAAAACAATGAACAAGTGCAGAATGATGCAAAATAACAAAAACACAACTACAATTGCATTTCATTGAAGTGTCAATATAATAGGTAGTTGACACAAAACAAACAAAAGCATCAATGTACCGATGGCATGCATCGGTGTTTAGAATAAATAAAAAAAAAACAAACAAAAACAAAACGACTATGTAAACAAACAAAAGAGCATCCTTGATATTCAGTGCTCGTGTTCGGTGTCCTTCGATAGCTTCCCGTGTCATTTTCATTCACAGAAATATTGTTCTGTTTTTGCAATTCACATGAAAACAATGGAAGGAGTAATTCAAAGTTAAAACTGGGGGCAAACAAAAAACCAACTTCAATTTCACTCTATTTGTATTTGACTCAATGAAGAAATTCAGAATAATTTTTTTTCACTTTGTTTGACTTTGATCGTTATCGTCCGAGAAATTACAAGCAAATAGTATTTGCTTGCTATATACAATATCTCGTTTTTGTAAAACATTTAATACGCGACTCAATTCGTTGCTTATAATAAGATGAATACCAAATCCCATTAAAAAGGGATGAATTTAAATAACATTCCAACGCTGATTAAATCTTTTCGCCAACAAACGTACAAATAATTGTGTGAAAGGAATTCGATTGTGAATATTTTGATTGAGGGTGTTTAAATTGAAACGGAAAATGACAGGAAATTACAATGGGATATTGTACGTTATCACCAAGACGATGATATTTTATGTGAAAATAAATAGCAATCGCCCTTTTGATAAATTTAAATCACTCTTTCTGTGAACCAATTTCCAGATTTTATTTTGGTATATCTGATGATTTATGTAAATAAATAACATCGAACATAGAAGCCGATTGTGCACATCCGAATAAATTTCATTGCATTTGATTTGCCAATTTTTTTTTGGTGTCGCAAACACACCTCGAAGATATTTTCTCGCATTTTTGATATGTTGCTCTTTGTACACACAAAATCATTTACCACCAACTTTGCCACCACAAAAACATTAAAAAAAAAAAATCCAATTGATTTTTAATGGGTTCTAATATGTAGATTTACGTGAACAAAATTTTTTGATATTTAAATCCATATATAAACCTTTTTTTTCTATATATATGTGATGAATATATCCGTGCTTTAGTTGGCCGTCGGCACGTTTGAATTCTTCGTTCGACACAAGTCGTATATCTATCTATCTTTGAATGTGTAAGAAGGGAAAACACCATCCATACGTTCTCTTGCACACAAAATATTTACAAAAAAAAAAAAAGAATGGGAAAAGGCAACCAAAAAAAAAGGAATCACATCGCACAAAGTGAGAACGAAGGAGAGAAGAGAACAATTGTGATTCTTTTGAACTTGGCCGACAATTTAAATACATCACGTCAAAAAAACACTAACCAATATTGAACATATTTATTCACGTTTATTGTGTGTGTCAGTGCCAGTGCCTTTGCCCACAACCCAAAGGTTATAGTCAGTTTCTTTTCTTTTTTTTTCTTTTTTGCTTACGTTCTTCAGCATTGTTGTTATTTTTTTCTCTTTCTCTCTTATATTTTATACTCTTATGCACTTCATATTTTTCATAAATAACAACAGGATTACATTCGAACACACATAACAATTTAGATGGATTGATGCCCAGTTCATATGCGCAAATTGCGAATATCTGTGCCCTGCAATCGTCGTCGTACGGCATTCGCATTCGTATATGATTTCAATCTTATTTTCCACTTTGCCTTTTTCATCAATACCATTGAATTAACGTGTGTGATTTTGGTGAATATTAATAAGGAATGCGTTCACGCGTCAACACATAACCAGTACAAGTGAAGAGCACTGTCCTCGGCGGTAAAATGTTCATCAATTACCGGTGAAGAAAAAAAAACACCATCGTCTTATCGACACAATCTAGATAGAATTTTACAGAAGGTACTCGTGTTTCGCATTCGAAAACTTAACAAAAAATGCCATTCATGTGAAACAAAAATTCGAATTAATAATTTTTTCAAAATAAAAAAAAAATGATTTTCTTGTATCAAATAATTACAGTGAAAGTTTTTACATTTTTGCAATCAACGAAACAAAACCGGACTCAGGAAGGGTCAGTTAAACAAATTTGGATGGTCATAAATTTCAAAACTAATTGATCGGTATAAAAAGGGCCACTTGCGTTGGGCTATTTTGGGACCTTATTATCAAACCTAGAGGGAGACACAAACGATTAAACCATGATTCCAATATATAAACACTAATCCTACTATTCCACCAATCCGTCATTTCATTGTCAAATATTATGTCACATTTCAATAATTGAAATGATTTTTTTCATCAATAAAATTTTGAGAAAGTGTATCTATTGTTTTGTAAAGAAGCCATAAGAAAACCATAGATTTATTGCCCAAAACGATAAAAAATAAAATTCACATATAGTTGGCGCTGCATTCTATGCAAACTTGTTTTCCGTTGCAACGGACTAAGTGGAAAGTATACGCTTATTACATAGAATGTGGCGCCAACTATATGTGAATTTTATTTTTTATCATTTTAGGCAGTAATCTTATCGCTTCTTTATATTCGACTTTTAAACTAAAAAATATTTCAAAAAAGAACAAATTACTATCTCAAGAAAAGCTTTGATCAAATTCTGTACTATCGATTACAAAAACATTGAATCTAACCCATTTTCGCTATTCCATACATGGCATTAGTGAATCCATGTGAATCTAGCTACTGAATTGTCTATTCCACTTTAATTTCTCGAATTTGTACACTTAAAGTCTAATCATATTCCACGTGTCTACCCCTAGTATCAAACATATGAATCGTTGCGGCTAAAGAGTAGCTCTTATTTTTCTCCAAATAATACTGCAACATGAAGTTTTTTTCACACGATTTATTACAACAAATAAACTATTCATAAAAAAACTTTATGTTGCAGTATTATTTGGAGAAAAATAAGAGCTACTCTTTCGCCGCAACGATTCATATATGGTCTGAAAATCTGAATTTTTTATATTAATAAAAAATTTTAATTCTTCTCGAAATGATTGTAAAATAATATTAAAATATTGCCTTACGGCATTATAATTTTTAAAAATGAAAACACTCACTTATGAGTCAAGAGTTCTTAGATGGTAATTTTAAGTTTTAAGCTTTTAAAAAGCGATAAGTAACTCGCTCTGCCCATTTTAAATAATATACGACTCCATTGAAATCTACAATTTCATTACTCGTAAGTACGAGTTCTTTGCGGTTTGCACATTGATTCGGTGATGCCAAATGTCTAATCGAATTGTGGTTGCAACGATAAACCACAATATGTATCGATAATGTGGTCTATCTAAATTAGTGTTAAATTGTAATCATTATGTTTGATTGAATCCGGCACATGCCAGACATTTAATCATTTCCAACCAAACGTAGTGCCTTTTCTACAGGCGCGCATATTGAAGGTGTTTTGATACCGGGCGTGCTGGAATGAAATATATACATTTCGAAAGAAGAAGAAGAAAAACATAAGATGTATAATACAGCTGTATACTTATTAAAAGGTTATCTATCGCAAACAAAATTTTGATACTCTATGGTTCCGCATATTTTTTTATAATTTGGTGCTTTTCAGGGACGCTAACCAGTGGTAAGCAGTGATGCTATTGCTTTTAGCTATTTAGTTTTGATACACATGTTTCAACA